ACAAATTCGCTATATATTACATGGTAAAATGAGCAAGAGAAAAGCATTCGCCAAATTTGTAAGTTCGGTTATGCGATACACGTTCATTGTGTGCCGTTCCGAGATCGCAATTACTCAACATGTCTATACACTGACTTTCCTGATAAATAACAACGTGTATATTTTCTTGTATTGGAGATATTTACCCAATATATTACGACCATATACGAGCTCGTCTACATACAGCAAAATTATTTTACTTGAGAATATATTTATTACGTCTGAGTGACCAGAAGATCAAATTTACGCAATCTCCATCTGTCAAGCTATGAACACGTTTTTATTCAAAACAAACACATGTGTCTTTGTGACTGCGGTTAAAACAGGTTTCGGCCAACTTCTGACGAAGTAGTAACTCTCCACAATTTACTTGCTTTGTTTCGTCCACATAGCGTTTTTATCAGCTTCTGACGAATTTGATGTTCCGTAACCGCCAATTTGTATATTTATGTCTTCAAAAACCTGCATTTACTGCGACAATTGGATATAAATGAAGTTTAACTCACTCGTATTCGTGACAAATGGATTGAGAAAATTCCGTGCTTTAAAGAACCTTCTTTTCCATTCCTACAATTGTAGTTTATCCTTGCGCTTTTTTGTCGAATTATTCCGATGAGGTAGCGCCAATAAGTTGCTTTTTTAATATACGACTCATATAACGCTTATATGCTTTATAATATTACATTCTGCGTGGCGTTAAGTCGTTGAGCTGACTATTAATTCTAAACTCGATTAGTGACGGAGCTATAAATATGTCTTTTAACCCCTCTTTCACTTTATGATTGCATTTATATTTACTTGCATCCGGCCACTCTTCTTGTAACTGCTTATTATCACCTTATCAAATTATTCGGTTACACGCTGTGAACATTTACTAATCGCATCCATATTTGCTGATCTCTTCGTTGCTTGGTCATAATTTACCCATGATCTCTAGACCGATGACCTTGAAAAAATTTCTCCTTTGTTTTACCATTGTTATATACCTTTTTTGGCACTGACGACTCGCCATCTTCTCAAGTTATTGCGTATATTGGCCTACATTTCGTTCCTCATCTCGCGCAAACCATCGTTCGCTTGCCCAAAATAATTTTACAACTACAATCGGTCAACATAACCGTTGTGGGTCTTAATGAATGTTTCCATCTGCTATAAAATGACAACAATCAGACTCCCTTTCTTGAAAAGAATATTCATTAACCAAACTGTAAGACCAATGACCATTTTTTTACAAGACTTACCGTGCTCTCGGCTGAGGCCCACATACTTTTCACTAGATAAGTCGTAAACGGTCACTTCTACAGAAGAACGGCTTTTCGCTCTACAACTATTAACGTGCGCTGGTAGCGAGTGCCCACTCTGGGAAAACTTAACCTATTGGCGCTACCATTCGAAACCTCTACAAGCTACGCATGTCGAGGTTCGACAGCAGGCATAATATAGCCCGCCCAGACACTTGCCGTAAATTCTACGCGAGTCTTCTACATGAAATATTGTGCTATGTATTGATTGTCTCTTATTCTATTTCAGTAAGGTCTATGTGGGTGGCTCCTACTCTCTCTCCAGTTACCTCTTTACAAACTCCTGGTCATATGATATTAAATAATCGCAATCTCGACTTGTCCAAATCCGACTCGTCGAGTTCCGACTCGTCGAGTTCCGACTCACCGACCCACGACTTATCGAGTGTGGCTGGATTGACGCGTTATTACAAAGATTATTTCTCTACATCATTAAGTCCTCGTTGAGGATATTGATGCTCTTAGTGCTTAATTATACGCCCCTATGGCTATTGTTCTATCAGCAAAATTTGAGGTATAGACAGCGCTCGAGTATAGTATAGTGTTCAGCCATGGCTCCAGACGTTTTCGCATCGGTTTGGTGACTCAATTTTTCAATGTAGGCCTGCGAATAGACACAGTCTGCCATCAGTGCTACTAGTCCAAAAACAATTCATGTACCAGTCTGCAAAAGTGTTATGGTCGTATAGTGTAAGCAAGCATTAGCCGCTATCAATGCCTCTCGAAGATGGGGTTGTAGATCTCGCCTGTTTGTAATAATGAAAGGTGTACGGCCTTCATATGTACTTAGCGCTGCCAGCACGTCAGCGACAATTCGCTTCGGATACGGGTACGTGGCTTTGGTGGGTCCACTCCTCTGCGTAGATGTAGTTATTAAATGATCATTAGTACCCTGTACGATGGTCACCGATCTCATAGTATACCACATCTTCTTCGACAATAATAATAATAATAATAAGAGTCTAGGTCTCATTGACAGGTGGCGTCACCTAGTTCGTTTTTTGTAGACGCAACGGCGAAAATACCTATTCTTTTGTGGAAATCTCTAATGTGAAACAATATGAGGGTCGATATGTGCAATCGACAGTCTGGTGGGGCACGGCGTTATAGTGGAACTCTTTACTGGTACAGCTACAGCATATGGGTGCATGAACCTTGTGGTCTACCGTGTATATAAAAAAGTTCCGTTCAAAGCACGTTTACTGGAAACGGACACAGGTTAGCAACCTAGAAATCTACTTACAAGGTCTTACTTCATTAGGGGATAACACCTTCCATGTAAAAACATAAACGGAGATCAATCGCCGGACAAATATCATATAACACAGGTAGCTTCAGTAGCCGTGAAGGGTATTAATTTTCTTAATCGTTGCTCGGTGACCTTGTTGGCTTTATTGGTCCAAACCTTTCCCTCTTTAAACCAAGTTGACTGTTACAAATGTTGTTCACTTACACGGATGGAGAGCTGACACGGGGCAAGGTCATTGCTACGAACGTTTCCCTGGCATAACCGTCGCAGCATTTCCCCCCTTCCACATACACCCACCACGAGCTCACTGCACATTTCTCGTCGACTCGTTATGGCTTGTAAACAAAACCTCCTGCTTGTCACCTAGTATGAGTTGCATCCGCATGCTGACATTTGGACTATGACTTCCAATGTCATAACTGCTCCATCCTTGTACCTCGATAAAGGTTTGAGGTTGCCGTGCGCTTGCGAATGATATACCTTGATGACCTGCTCCACCATTACTTCGAACTGCACCTTTGCACGTTCAGCCATACAAGCAGTTGGATGCTACCGTGTTGAGACCGTGCACTGCAAACACTCCTTACTATCAACTTGTCAACAAATACGACGAATTGGTAAAGAGTAAGTATGGCTTGTCCGCATTGCGTCACTCTGTTGGCTGTAGTCAGCTGCTTGCTAGTCCCGTAGCGATGGCGGTGTCTACTCTTTCGGTCCAGGCGGGATATCCTCCAGCAACCAAGCGGGCTGACAAGTGAAACGTATCTATGTGCAACTTTTGTGCGTAAAGGCAGATTAAGAAAATGATGGCGTACTTGGGAATGGGGATAGGACGCTGTCGGTATCGGCATTCTCCGACCTCATTTGAAGTAGAGGGACGGAGCTTGTTGAGGCCGCAAACAAACTTCCGGGCGCGTCTACCATCGGTGAGTTGGCCAGTCGAGCAAAGGCGTCGATCGCGCTGAGGTTCTGCAAAATCCTAGATGAAGCTGAGTGCCTAGAAAATCGATGCAACGGATGGCAATACGCTCAGTAGCCCAAACCTGGGCATTTCATTCCATTTTACGCGCATCTACAACCAGCAGAATTATATCCTTGATACGGCGCCATTATCACCGCGTAGGAGAGTATATTGGCAAGTAGAATGGACTAGGTGATGATCAAATAGATAGGGCTCGTCGTCTGGCTGTACAAGTACTGCACGCAAAAAGGCAAGACGTTGGGTGGCGTTCAATTGTTATGTAGCGTAGGTTGGTCGGGCATACCGCGTCAAAAACAACAAACTTGGACAACTCCAATCTAGACCGTTTGAGTCACATACAAGCGCGTGTACGAGCAGGAGGGAGCCAAAGCACAATCAGCTGGTCACTTGACGTCCTAACTTTTGTGCCGAAGCTATTTGGTATCTAGTTTGACGCATTGCCCGAGTTTTCGTGTCGCAATGATGTTCGAAGCAATAGTAAATACCACATGTCGTCTTGAATACAAAGCTATGAGCGTTAGTCGGGTCATGCACAAATACTTGGCGTTCGCGCACGAAACAGAAGATTGTTGACGGGTGATGTGCAAACACGCCGCATTTACGAGAGAGTAAAATGACAGCGTCAAAGAGGTCCCATTCATTCGACTTGTTAAGCCAAGTCTCACACCCGGCAATTTGCACGTGCATATCTCGCCTATACTAGCTTTGCACGAGATAAAAGCAACTGGGTTTTGACCACCCGCACCGAAAAATATCCGAGTAGTCCAATAGGCAGTGCGGTCGCTGTCACGAAGTCAACGCATCGGTGCTACATCAGCATCCCCAGCCTCTTCATCTATCCGCCCACTAATTTCCAGCTTCTAAGTCACACAAACCACCAAGGCTATATCAATCGTGCTTATTCCCATCTCGTCAACTTTTGTTGCTATCGCCACGTATGTTACATGCGACTTGTACTTTACCCACTGCGTCGATATGCGGAAAGTCTAAACCCACGTCGCAGTCAGGCCGTGACGCAGAGTTCAAGGGCCAGATCGGCTGTTTTCGTGGACGCCATGGCAAAGCAATGTTATTGGCAGTAGTGCGAGCTTGTATCGGCTCAAACGGGCGTGAAGGATAGCAAACCTCACATGAGACATACAACGTCTTTCTGCTTGAGTCCTTCAGCTTAAAAGCAGGTGCTATGCGGTCATTCCTTTACTTGCACTTGACGTCGACACAATCAGGTATCAGCAAAAAGCCTACTCCTGTCCGCCATTTCACGGTCTACATCTTGCCCCAGATCGTTGCCGCACCACTGCGAACGAGTCATGTCGACTGCTTCGAAGCATGCACATGTATAGCGAAGATTCACGTTCGATCCATGAAGCTGGGCATGATGTGGCTCGGAGTTCAAAACTGTCGTGTTGACTCAAAATTGAATGGAGCGTCATTGCAAACCACTCAATCGTGCGTCGATCAACTTGACATCATCTCTCATCGACATCAAGCGGTCCCGAGTCTGTTTCACGTCCGGCGATCTAGTCACATCTAGCATCCTGCCAGAGTTTAGAACAAGCTGAGCACTCGCGGCTTGGATGTCCAAACAGAGTTGTCTGCGTCGCTCCTGCAACTCTGGGATGCTCAAACCTGCTAGCCCTGGGACCGTCGCAATGTCGTCGCAACCATCGTCTTTGATAGTCAACTTATCAACACTGTCCTGAGCCCCTTCAATGACAGGCCGCATGGTGCTATTCGGTTCATCAGGCTCGGCCAAATGTGGTTCTGCAAACAGTTTCCGCACAAGGGAAGGGTCGACGGGAGCGTTGGTCAGCTCAGACAAATGTAGCTCTCGACGGAAGTGCTCGAAGGCCCGCAAAAATGACACCTCGTTCAGCTCTGTGCTGCTTACAACTGATCCTCCCAGAAAGCTCAAAATGCTCTCACTCTCTTCCTTGTGCTCCTCTTCCTCACCATCGTCGTCGTCGTCAACCGACGGGCCATCGAAATTGAACTTACGGGCAAGCACTGGAGTAGAGTACGCATCGTTGCCGAAGCGAACCTGCTTCGACATCGAAGATGCAGACTTTTGATCACTCCCAGTGGTCGGAGTGGTCCCGCTACTCCCTGTTGTCGGAGTTTCGTAAGTCTGCGACTCTTGTCCGTCAAACAAGTCATGTCCGCAATCACTGTTCCAACTTTCCTCGGGAGAATCACGAGGTGGTGTCGTAATCGAGGACATCGATGCCACCCCGGCCAGCTCCGGGCTAGGTGAATTATCTGCACCTAACGAAGAAGGTACATATTTCTCAGCTATAGTCGCTCCGGGGTCTCGAAGATCCGGGCATCGCGTCCGTAACTTTTGACCACAAGACGGCGTGGACTTGAGAGAGGACAATGAAGAGGAGCTGACCGATTCGTCGCTACTGCCTTCACGCTCACTAGACCATCTTGCCTGTCTGCAACACGAACAATCTTGCCCCAACTTTGCTTTCGCTGGCGTTCCTGTCCTGCTTGTCGTCCGACATCCCCGAAGCAACTGATCGCGCATCTGCACTGACTTTTCAAGCTTCAGCATCGTCTCGGCAAACTTCAATTGCAGCAAAAACACGTCAGTCAACGCGTCAGGTGGGCGCTTTGAACAGCGCAGTCTCCGCAGCTGGTCCATGTCTCTTCTACAAGTACCCACGTCGTCGTCCTCTTCATCGTCGCCTTCTTTCTCTTCTACTACTGCTGAACCGAACGACGCGTTCTGTTTCAACCACGCCACCGCATCCACTCGCCGAGCAGATGTTTGTTGCTGCTTTGGCTTCCGCTCCTCCTTCTCGTGCTTCTCCCACTTCAAACGAGCCAATGGCTCGAGCGTCACGACGCCACCAATCGAATACGTCTGCGTCTGCTGCCCACGCAATGTATCGTCCACGCAACGCGTCGTCGTCCTCGTCGTCTCTTTCCCGACCATTGGAATCCCTTTGCAACAACTGTCTCCATCTGCTTCTGCGCCCTGTCGCTCCATCACGTCTGTGCCTGCCGCAACACGCTCCAACTCCTGTCGAATCTGCGTCTGCTGCTCCTGCAGCTGCGCCATCGCTCGCTGCCACGCGGTCCGCCGCCGTCGGTCCGTCCGTCGCTTCTGCGCCATCGCGTCCAGCGTCTGTCGCTGGTGCTGCAGCTGCCGCTCGAGCGCTCGCCGTTCGGTCGACGCTGCTGCTACTTTTCGCCTCAACTCGTGGCGAGGCCATGGCCTGGAAAGGTCTTGTCGCTCATGTCCTGTCGACGCTGTCGCTCGTGCAGTCGTAGGTGCAGCCGCTCGTGATGGACAGTGATGGTCGCCGTCGTCTTCGGACGTGGTGAGCGCCGTACTTAGGCGCGTTAACGTGCACTGGAGCGCAGTCTTGAGGTCGAGCAGCTCGGCCGTGAACATGCGGGCAACTGGTGAAACGCTTGAAGTCGTGCTTAAGTGGCGCGAACGAGGCGATGAGACAGTGAGGCGGGGCAAACCGGACAGCAGGCGCTGCTCGACGCACGCAATCGCTGACTACCACGAAGTAAAAAACTGGCAAACCAGACGTACTGTATTTAGTTAACTCAGACCGCCGTGCGCGCGTGGCCACACTCTGGGCCACTCCAACAGCACGTCGTCGCTACTCCAGACCACACGGTCCCTCTCTCTGCGTTCCAGCAGCCCACTTACTGAAGGACGCGCTGGCACCTACACTAACTAGATCGGGCTACACTCGCTCGAAGGATAAGACAGCAGCAACAGCTAATATTCAAAAGATCTTCTACAGTCGCGGGTAAAACGGCTTGATACCAAACTGCACCACTGTCATGAGTCCAGCACCGAGTGCACCAGCCAGCACCATTGCCTTCGGGCCTGCTGTCGACTTGTAAAACACACCAGTGGCTGCTGATGCTAGAATAGGCGTCACCTGGTCAAGCTTGACAATGTTTTCAATCTCGGCCGAGTCGGCCACGTACTCAAAGGCCTTGTAGATCATCGCTATAGCCACAACAACAAACAACAAAAGAACGACACCATCCATTGTCAAACACACATGTCCGTCAGTTAAGCCACACCGTACTCGCTCGTGCAATACCAGCTAACCAGCAAGTCGAGTCGTTGTCACGTACCCAGACAGCCCAATGCGTTGCCGGCCTTCGAGCCGCGGGTCGCAGCGCCGTTCATGAGCGAGTTCATGCGAATTTTAAACTTGGTGCTGGGCGAGCGCGAGAAGCCCCGCAAAGCCCCGTACGCCCCTCCACCGAGGATGCCAGAGAAATAAGCAGTGCCACATGAGCCACTCATTTGCTCCATGAACGGCCGCCCGGCCTTGTCATAGTCCAAGTAATCGGCGTCGTCGTCGTACGAGGCGACGCCAAAGACTGGCGCGATGGCGCTAATGTCAATGCTGCCCGAGGGAATCGTGGGCAGAATCGGGAACTCGAGACCGCTCGTTGCGCTCGAGTCGAAGCCCGAGTCGGCTGCGGATGCGGAGGGGGAGGACGAACCCGAGTCCTGCCATTGGTCGTTCGAGTTCCAGCTGCTCATGTTCGTGTGACGCGCGACCCGATGGGTGAGTTGAGGGCGGCGTCTCGACGGCAGACGAGTTGGTGGTTGGGTTTCGAGCCACGGAACCGGTGGTTCGAAAAGTCGATCTCTGTGTGGTGCACGTGCATTTGGGAGGGAGGGTGCAAGGAAGGAGCTTGCTCTTCCGAAGATAATCCGTACTTATGAACAGCTGTGTGGTACACGTGAACGAGGTACCGAGCCGATCTCATTCACCCCAACAACCACCCAGCACAAGTTGCTCCTGGCATTTGCAACTCTGCTCTATCCAGGTCCACAAATGCGGTTCGCTTCACAAATCTGCATGATACCACTTCGACGGTGCACATTACAAAATGATTTTTTAGTAGGAAAATAAAAAAATGCCCCATTCCATCACGAAAATAAAGAAATGCCCCAGATAATTGAAAAAATGCCTCAGATAATTGGATAATAAATATGCCTCAGATAATCGGAAAATAAAAAATGCTCTAGGTAATTGAAAAATGGGCCAGATAATTGGAAAATAAAAACGGCCCCACGTCCTAATAATCTCACGTTAGTGTGGCACACATAGCATCGCACGTCCTTAATCATTTTCGTTTTTCCATTTTACGGCCGCGACCAATACCCGCCCTGTTTGGGAAACCGCAAAGATGGTTCTTCCGCGGGCGTGCAGCGCTTGCAGCCACCAGTTGCAGGCGAAGATGCGAGATATGAGGATGTAAACGCGTCTTCATATCATCGATCGCGGCCGTAAACACATTCAATCGGTGCTAATGTTCTTGATATTAATGATAATACTTTTGTTATAGTTGTTTTTCAATTGCTATTGTTGATGCTGCAATGCTGTTTCTGCTGCTGTTGTTGTTGTTGTAAGTGCTGCGGTTGCTGTTATTGTTGCTCGATTGATGCTGCTTCTGCTTCTTTTTGATGCGAGATGCAGTCGTTGCAGTGGATGGAGTCGCGTGCACGAACGCCCGCAACACGCGCGTGCTGGTGCTCAATGATGAACAGTGTACGTGTGCGTCTGTGCATAGCTAGAAAAAGACGAGTGTGGTGCTTCTCTACCGAGCTGCGTTGAAGACTAATGAAACGGTTAAATATAACGACGGGATTTAAGCTACTTGCACTCTGAATTGCCAGCACCTATTGTGAGGGGTTATAGTAAGTTGCATCGTGGTCATACAAATTGCGTTGAGGACCATCGTAACCAGAACCAGAACTTGTATCGATGTGCTGCGCTTGAGTTAGTTGAAGTGTGGCTGCATCATGATTCTGCTTTTGTGTACCACATTAAGTCGAATTTAGTAAGACGTGGAGCAATCATTTTAATTTCCAATTATCTGGACATTTTTTTATTTTCCAATTATCTGGGCATTTTTTATTTTCGTGATTAAATGGAACATTTTTTTATTTCCCTTTTTTTATCCAACCTATGGTTGACTGAACGACTTGCTCCTCATGACACACCTTCGGTTGATTTGACAAATCTGCTTCCATTACGCATCTGCAGTTTACAAAACAATTTTGCTTGCACAACAAACCTGCAGCTGACTGAACGGCTCTGCGGTTTACTTAAACGAAATTGCCATATCACCACCACACTACCTCGCATCACATAACGACGATTGAGTTTCAATTTTCTACCTTTCGCTTAGCGACTCTGCTCTTAGGTAGCGCATCTGCCTTTGCTCAACGAATCTGCCTCCCACTTGATCGTATCAAAGGTCACTGCTGCATCTGCACTGCTCAACGTCACAGCTGTCCTGCTTGCATCGGCTTATTTCTTCTTGCTGAACCTGCACAGCATATAGATAGCAACACCAACCATGTGACATGAGCATGCATTACGATGCAAACATAGACGACTGCAGCTGGCACACGTACGAGGACTGGTCCGTGTCGTGCAGGATATTGAGCAGCAGAGAGTCCGAGTTCAAGTACACCTTGTTGGCCGAGCGCGAGATGACGGTGGCAATCTCCTTTGCAGCGTCCAGACGACGCAGCTGCACAAACGCCGGGTTCTTCTGAATGGCTTCGCCAACCAGCTCAGCCGACTTGGCCACACCAAGCGCACGAATGACCGTGCTCTTCTTCTCTTGGATGGCACGCTCCACGATGAATCGAGCGCGTTCCGCGTCTTGCTGCGCCACTTGCTTGGCCTCAATAGCAGCCGTGTACTCGGCACCAAACGTCAAATGAATGATCGACACGTCCTCCAGCATGATCGCAAAGCGATCGGCGCGTCGTTTCTACATTATAGCAAAAGAGGTCATATCTGAGCATCTCTGTTGCATAATTCACCTTTCTACACCGTTACACCTCGAGCGTCTACGGCACGTACCAGGTTCTCAATGATGAGACGGCTCACGTGGTCACGCTGGAAAATGAGTTCTGCTGCTGTGAACTGCGCGACCACTTGCTTCGTCACTTCATTGACGATCGAAGGTAGCACCTTGTCGTCGAAATCTGTAACCACACACACACATACACACAATGCGTGTCAAACCCTCTACAACCACATACACTTCTCCCCGCCCTGTAACCTTATCCAATTCTCCCGACGGTCGTACCCATGCCCAAGTTCTGGTACAGCCACTGCAGCCGCGCACGGTCGGGTTTCGACAGCACACGGATCGAAATGTTGATCATCTGCAGGTCCTTCGTGCCCGTCAGTGACGCGTACGTGCGCGGACGCGTGCGGACGTCCATAATGAGCGGACGTTGCAGCCACGGCACGAGAAAGTGCGTGCCCTGCTCGATCACCTGCTGCCCCACGCCGTCAATGCGGCTGTAGACGACGGCTCGGTGGCCGGGGGGGACGTTGTAGATGGACAGGTACGCGCCGTAGATCGCAGCGCCCGTGACAACGGCGACTTTGGCCAGTGCCGTCGCCGGCCCCTTGCTGCCCGGCGGCATCTTGAGGTTCTTCATGTTCTCCATCGCTGCTTTGCCCTTGTCCATGGGCGACGACCGCGTTGAGAAGCAGAATAGCGCTCTCGAGCGCGGCCGTGCGGGCCACGCCAAGAGCGCGATGGTCGTCGATTTCAGCCAATCCGGTGCGTGCCTCGCCCCTCTACCACTCGTTCATTCGCGGAGGCGCGGGCGGGGCGCTGGCACGCGCGCCATTGGCCAGAACGCGCAACTTCCCGCGCCCGGATTGGCTGCTATAGATTGGTGGCTCCCCGAAGTCTTGTCGCACCAGCCGCGCGCCGTGCTGTGCGCGCCACCCACCCACCCCCGCGCTCGTTCTCGTCAGTCAGTCACTCGTACGTCAAGCCCAACGTCGTCGTCGTGACGCTTTTTGTCTGCCTCTTCTCCCGCACAGCATCCGCCGCCGTTCGGTCCCTGGACTCACTTCCCTCCTGCCAGCTCCGCCACCCGTGACGCCACGATGCCCAAGATCTCGCGCCACCGCAACTACCGCAAGACGTACCGCACGCCGTCCCGTGCGTTCGAAAAGGAACGCCTCGACCAGGAGCTCAAGCTCTTGGGCGAGTACGGCCTTCGCTGCAAGCGCGAGATTTGGCGCGTGCAGTACGCGCTGTCGAAGCTCCGCAAAGCTGCGCGGGAACTGCTGACGCTGGACCCAAAAGACCCGAAGCGGCTGTTTGAAGGCTCGGCGCTGCTGCGTCGGCTCAAGCGCTACGGCATGTTGTCGGAAGACGAGAACGAGCTGGACTTTGTCTTGCGTCTCAACGTGCAGAAGCTGCTCGAACGTCGTCTCCAGACCAAGGTGTTCAAGCAGAATTTGGCCAAGTCGATCCATCACGCGCGCGTGCTGATCAAACAGCGCCACATTCGTGTCGGCAAGCAGCTCGTGGACGTGCCTTCGTTCCTTGTGCGCATGGACTCGGAGAAGCACATTGACTTTGCTGTCACGTCCCCGTACGGACAAGGACGTCCGGGACGTGTCGCGCGTCGCCGTGCAGCGCAGCGTGCAGCTGCCGGTGCAGGAGATGATGACGACGAGTAAGTGTCGAGTGTGACATTGGCACAAGCGTCGACATGAAAAAAGTCGAGTGAAAATGTTGAGGGAAACGGACGGGCAGACGAACGAAAGCCATGAGGATGTTGACTATTTGTCGGCTGATAACAGTGCAGTTCAATCTATCGCTGGAAATAAACTGCAGTGAGGACGCCGATGATGAATACAATCAATCATGCAAATATGGGCACGTGCTAGTTCATTAGGGATTGAAATGGCTCGTTTTGATGTTATGTGTCATGTTAGGACACTCTTGTGTCTGTCTGCAGTCACTCTGCTACATTTGTAGCGCTCAGGAGGCTGTCCTTTGCACGCTGTAGCTGGACTTCGGAGACACCTCGTACATGCAAAGTCGTCAGCTCGTCTGTCAGCCGATGGGAATCACTGGAACGAGCGTATTCGCGCGTGCTGTGGTCGCACACAAAGCAGCCCAATGCGCGGTTCAGATCGTTCGACCCTACGGCCTTGGCGCTTTTCCACATACGCATCTTTTCTTCGAGACACGGGAGGTGGTAGCAGTGGCCGCACTCAAACACACACGCGTGGACTGTTTCCATGCCAGACGATGGTGCCCGCAAAAATTCGCTACAGATAGCACACGCCTTTTTCGCGGCAACGCGACGTCCACGTTTGTGCGCTTCGACTTGCCGATGCAACAGCTCTATGCGGTCACTGTCGAAAACCTTGCGAGAGCCGACACACAGGTTTTGCTGTTACGAAAAACAGATTAGCACGCCCGTGTGCGTATTCGAGACGATTGCGTACATTTTGACACATACCTGCAGGCGGTAGTTGGCAATGATCGCAATGAGCTGTTGTTTTAGGTTCACAATCACCATGTCTTCCGGTATCTGCCATCCGACAACCACGTTAGTAACATTCGCAAGCCACTACTCGCAACGGCACATACCTTGCGAATCAGCTTGATCGGGTCAACCTTGTGTTGTGAAGCAAACCTCAACAGCTCTTCCACGTTGTCTTTGCTGGCGAGGCTCAGGTCGATGAGGTAATCCCACAGACCCGTGTCGTGCTCTTGGACAAACTCAATCGCTTGATTAATATCGCGACGCTGCGTCAAAATTAGGTCCAGTGCTTTCTTGTGCTGTCCCATACGACCAAGCACGTAAATCATTGTTTCCCAAAGCGGAGGACTGTGTTCGCTGCAGTAGCTGTAGGCCTGACAAAGTGAAAGCAGTAAATTGAAGTTGCAAATGGTCAGAACCCTTCCTGAACATCATCCGCGAAACGCCCTTGGGCAGTACCTACCTTCTCCAACGGAACAAAGTTGCTCATCTGTAAGAATTTCAGCAGGAACTCTGGCGCGTACTCGGCATAAAGTGCAATCTGCTTTTCGTGCAGTGCCGAGTACACTTCTGTATTGTACTCTCCCGAGCGGCGTAAAACGAGCTCGTGAAGATACGTGTGCAACAACTCGGGCTCACCTTCGAGCTGGACCACAATATCACTGATCTTAAGCTGTTCCGTCTGGTTCACGAGCATACGGACTGCGATGGCCTTGTCAATGCGCATGAGGTTGACCACCTTATTGGCAACAAGTGACCACAACTGGTGCTCAGTGATCAGCTTAAACGCGAATTCCTTGTTCGAACAGGACTCGCCTTGACTTATGTATATGCGCAGCGCATTGTCATACTGTTCGGTAGCCGTGTACAGCTCTGCCAAAGCCTCCACCAAGTATGTTGTCTCCACGCTCAACCGGTCTACGTTAGCTTCGGCAATACGGCGGCGACGCACGACAGTTTCTAGCTGGTTGATCCATGCCTGGGCATCGTAAAGCGGCTCAAACACGTGGGTTGTTTCGGTGTACTCCGGGGCAACATCAGATGCGTCACCGTCAGACTGCTGCTTCACAAACAAACTATCCTGCCGCCTTGGCTTAGGCCACTTGCGGATGAGCTCGAGAAGTTGGCCAGGATCCGAATCGAGAAAATGCTTCAGCACCATTTCGTATTGCGCCATAGGTAAGCGTGGGCTTGCCGTCGGTATGTATCGCGCAATTGCGCTCAGTTGCCCACGCTGGGCAAACACGTACACATACTTTTCCCAAAGCTTCGCGTACTCTTCGTTACCACCACTAAAAAGTCGCGGGATCTCTTCAGCGCACTTCTGGTACTTCTTCTGGTGTAGTAAGTTACCTATATACACCTCTATTACATCGGTAAGCACCACGCGTCGAAGAGCACGTGGATCATGGAGAGCTACGTCAAGGGCCTTAGCGTACTGCTTCCGCGCCAGTGCCCACTCGACGCGGTCGTCCGCATCACGAAGTCGACATATAACAACATCCTTTGGAGTACAGACGTACGCTAGTTGACCATATCCAGCGTCATATATGGAGGATGGGTCGGTCGATTCGAAATTGGACTGGGGTGCATGTGCATAACAAAGAGTTGGCATCATGTAGTCGGATGCACGAAGCCGCTGATAGCTCTTGAGGTTGAGCAAATCAGCGCTTACTTGTTTGCCATTCAACCGCACAACATGCACTTCTGGATACGGCATCTCTCCACTCTCTCCTTCGCCTTCAACTTTTGTTGACTTTCCTTGGGGTCCTGTAGATGCAAAAGACGATCCAGGCGGTCGAAATGCCAGCACCGAGACGACCGAGCCGCCATTCCACGGACTAATACCAGCGACGAAAAAATCAAATGTAAGCAGTGCTACCACCTCCGCTGTCACACCACCAGATGCATGTTCTACAGCGTCTAACGCAGCAGCTGAAGTTGGCGACGCAGGCGGCTTGGGGTGCCCTTTTTTAAACGACACAACGCGCAACGTGTGCGCCCACGCAACGAGCAAAACATCACTTCCCTGCCACTCTAAATGACAGCGACAAAGCTCCATCGGCGGACAGTTTGGTGGGCGTTCAATATACGTCACGCGCTGATCACTTCCTGAGTCGTATACTTTCACTCCCCAGTCGTTGGCCCACGCCACGAGTCCGTCCTTCCAGCGAATGAGCTGCACTGGCCCTTCCCCTTCATGAACGGTCGTCTCCTTGTCAAGAATCCATCCCTTTTTATTGATAATTAGCTGCCCCGCGACCCCTCCACAAGCAAAGCTCTTGTCACGCTTTGCAGCGTATCGGTCTTCCAGCTGCACGGCATAAACTGCACTCGTGTAGTTGTAAATGTTCACTTCTCCACCAGTGCTTGCGACCAAACTCTTTCGTCTCTCCGCCTTGATGCTCGGACTACGGGCATGTCGATGGCCACTCAAGTCGTGGCCAAGAGCTTCGTGACAACCATCAGACACTGGAAACAGCGTATACACAGCCACCGTGCCATCGTCCGAGCACGACGCGATAAACTGCAGTGAGTGTTCATCAGAGATGAGTGTGAAGCCACATCGACCACCAAGTCGTCGCTCGTTTCACACATAAAATGCCCGTACCTGTCCCGTCTCATCAATACACACTTGGTTCACCTTTTTATAGTGCTGATGCAGACGGCGTATGAAGCGGCCGTCAAGGTCCAGCAGCAGCACGTTGCCCCCGTATGTCCCTGCACACACAAACTTGACGTGCAAAGCAATGCAGCTGAGCGAGTCGTCCTTGAAGATCGCGTGGAAGTGGCCACCGACGCGCTCGTACTTGAGTAGAGGCTCGAGCGCACCGTAGACCTGTTGTGCAGTACATCGTGTGACTGTTAGGAAGATGGAGGGGTTTTCAGATCTCGCGCTTTTAGAAACGAGCTAAGTCCCTCGTCCAGGGTCCGAAGCGGTGTGTTATAAGTACATGGAACAAGGATGGACGTCGTCAAGACGTGGCTCTTCTGGTACGTACAATGGCCTCGGGACTCTCACGCTCGGACGACATGACCTGATCGTCGTCAGCCGGACGAAGCTGATCTCAAAGGGGTTCGAGGAAGAGCGCACGACGTTTTGATTGGATGGAAAATCGACAGCTTTTCCAGTGGTATGGCCGCTTGTGTTGAGTGAGCTAACTTGCTGTGTTGCAGTGCGCGCGGAAATGATAGGGCAATTTTCTATATTTCTTTTTGCACAAGTGTGAAAAGTGCCATGGAGTCTTCGTCTAGGCGTAATCATTTTATATTACGAATAGGGGAATAACGGCTTCAAATTAGCCACTTACAGCTCAAATGCATTCAATTCAAATTTGTATACACATTCCTGACCACTCACTCTCTCTTGCTGGGTTCTCATCAAATTCTTCGAACGCAACAATCAAGTATAAGCAGACAGGACTGGTACGACACACCTTTTTCACAATTTCAGTGGCCGCTTTCGAAAGACCCGTCATCCTGTTGACAACTATACTCAAAGGCAGAAATAGACTTTCGATGATCAAGAACAACGCGAATGTTGGCTTCATCAAGAGCTAAAAAAGATCAGCTCTTGTCCTAGGACAAACCGCAAACGTGTTCGTACGTATTCGTAAATAAACTGTTATTTTCGGTCGTATGACGCATAATCTTTTGGCTTACGTATACCTTGCCATGCATTTTGGCCCAGCGCCGTGGGGCCCTTCAGCTGCTAACCGATCGCTGAATAGGCTTTTTAAGTGCTGTAGATGATGCGATGCCACATTCTTACCTAAGCAAAAGATAACATCATAACCTTTTCATCTATCGACTACTGTAGCATCACCAAGTAGACTTCACCGGCGTTACATCTAGTATTCAAGTAGACACCAAAAATCAACTTCAATTATTTCAGCTTTACGATTGACTCCTGGAAGTCTACATTGGCTATTGTAGTTGGTGACGAAGATTAGCATCCCTGGATCGACCATAACGCCGTTGCTGATTCCTTGTGTACAGCTAAGACCCGCCGTCACCGCATACTAACAGACAGAAGAGATCAATCTACGTTGTGGAGGTATGTGTACTACTAGAATATTAGCGGTACTTTGCGCTGATGACGTTGCTGTAACTCAGAGCGATATGTGCAGCATTTACCAGGCGGATCGTACAAACCACTTTACGGACGCTATCCATGAGTTTCCATGCCTATCAGCCTCAAATTTATGAGCGTCGACGGTCCATGTCTTATGGTGCAGACGTGGAATGAGGGCTCATTTACATTTAACCAATTAGCTCATCCCCTAAAAAATCTTGCTTCAAACGTAATTTTGGCAAAGTAATACTTTTCTTGTTTACCTACAAAATTACCCACATTTTGTATCCATGCTGTAAGTTGTGGGCGTGACACAGACTGAGTAGATCTCAACCTTTTCTTGCTGCGTCATGACTTGGTCGAATTGATAAATGTGTCGACATGATATGCGTAATACATGCCATACTCTCCAGGACTTGGCCATAAATGAAAAGACGTTTGTGATCGACCGTAGAATTGACAGTATGCACTCTCGTGGATAAGACACGTTTCAACCCTGAGTTCACTACACTCATGGTATATCAACAATATATAAACGCAAAATTATCGCAGAACCTTTACGACAATGGACGTGTCCAATTAACGATATCTCTCTGGAGCGCCTCGATCATGTCTTCTAACACGGTAGTTTACGGAGCCGAGAGTGCATTAATGCATAAAACTGTCCTCTTCATATGCATTATACACCTTGAAGACACCTCGTTAACATGCTGGCGTCATATTTACGCGAAACTAACGAGTTTGTCCTTGTTGCGACGGTGCAGCTTTTACACACGTCCGTCGTTCGTGACATATTTATCCTTTTCTTTGACTTTTGCGACGCATGATTATCATTTTGCAATTTAAAAGAGGTACGTTGACTGTGGACGAGGTGATTTACCCAAAAGTTTATAATGGACGTCTGGCTTGCATCAAGCGATGAATATAATGAGAACGATTGAATGCCAATTCAGAAATGGGTTGCTTCTCGTATCGATGATACAAAGAGAATAAACAGCTAGAAACATAAAAATAATTGCCACGTCTGTTTCTGTAGCTACGTCATGTGCGATATAATAGTTTGGTACAGCGCTTGTTATTAAAGCCGTGCAAGTTTTAAAGATGTTAATCGTTGCTTTCCATAAAGTAAATCGGCAACGATCAAATGGTATACTTGTCAAAAATACTGTCCATTGACGATGGAAGATCAGTGGACACTATATCATTGTGCTGATGTGACCGTCAATATCTGAAGTGTACGAAACGTCGTAACACAAGCAGTTCTAACGTGACTATAAGTGAAAGGGTCACCAAACGTATTTTAAAGATTGATATACCTAGATTTAAAAGATAGCTGATTTTCCCATTGTAGGGTTCATAATAACAAGTTTTTGAATCCGTTTGCTTCCAAGATAATTATTTTTCTTTGTGTGTCATCGACCTTAACAGGTTACGAAGCCAATCACGGTGGGATTAAACAGCGTTGTCCAAATTGACAACTCGGTCGTATAATTCCTCAATCGGAAAAATTATATTTTTAAGAAGGGATGGAAGGCATATAGACGCGAGGAAGATTCCTAGAATAGATGAATCTACTGCTACAGAAAGTCAACAATATGGGATATTCTCAAGCGTGTCGACTATGATCAAACAAGTCTTAAAATTGTGGTTCGAAATGCAGCAAAAACTACAGAACAGTGAAACATTTCGAAAAAGATTCTTTCTCCGTAGAAGTAAAAAACATAGGGTGCAGATGCGTTGACATCTGCACAAGTTTAATATGCAGATGGGCGATTTTGATGAACCACTTCTTAACTTGATGACTGGGTGCATTTTAATAGAAGATATGAGTAATGAGGCTATATAAGATAATCGGATCTTTATTCCGAGTAGATTCTTGTCTACTGTAAACGATAATATTGTCAAGAGTCTCTAGAAAGTGCAGGATATCGATCTGTTGCAATCCAAGGAAATTCTTCATCGTTAACACTAACACATCACGCGGAATGAGAAAGAAGTAAATGCGTAGCAATCTACTGATAATTTATGAGCATAAGTCATCAACCAAATTAAACAAGGAACAATTTTTATGAAACGTTTATGTTCGACAAGATGGCAAAGAAGAAAAATTGTTGGAATAACAACAAAATTAGATAGATAAAAATACTGAGTACGCGTTTCACAGAGGTAAAATGCTTTGAAGATTGGCGACTCAAGATCGATGCAAGTTTCCACATGCGACCATTTCAAGATGCGTTTGTGCAAATTAATTATTACAACAAAGTCGGTATACATATATTGGATGAGAATAGGAAAAATAGTGATGGCTGCTGTAAGTGAGAAACTGCGTGTTGTATGGAAATTTAGGAATTCAATTCGCATTTGTGATGATTTATGTGTACCGAGGTTGGATCTTAGGAGTATCTCGATTTCTGCATTAAATTTATGAGTATTCCATATAAACCTATGCCACAAGATGGTAGTGACCACGAATTACCACGAGGCTCAAGTGCCCTGACAGATTAAAAAAGTTTGTGATAGAATGCGATTTTCTGACATTTGCGAAGGTGAGCTTAGATTCTGGATGTCATCATCACCTTTGATTTTTAGTGATTGGTGTGTACGGCTACATATATATATATATATATCTTCTAATGAAGGCAATGAAAACCCTCGGCATGTGTGTTGGAAAAATTTAGATTCATTTGCGTCATACATCATGGATGTTCAAGACAAAATTTATGAAGGTTGTGTGACATACATGTGTCAGTCATACAGAATCCGTAGTCAAGTCAAGTCAAAGTGAAGACTCTTTCAATACTCTAAATTTTTACAGCGACCTGACGGCGGGGCAAGTTGGTCGCGAGGTTCTGCCGTTGAGTTGGTCTTGGAAGCCCACAGATCGCCAGCATCATTTAAGTTTAAAAGGGACTGTGAAGAGCTGAGACGGGTGGCTCACAATCACGTACTTAAACGTCCAGATCGCGAGATTGCTGGTGGAAAGGATGGGATATACGTCTTTTATTGGGTGATAACGTAATCCAAGAAAAATCTCACCAGAGATCTCGAGATCAAATAGAGATTGCAATACCAACCAGAGATCGCGAACGCAAAGAGAGATAGCACAAAGATCACGATATCAACCATAGGTCATGATAACGCTAAGAGATCACGATATCACCCATGGATCACGAAATCACCCAGATATCACGAGATCATCCAGCTGCGTACAAGTTGGATGTGAACCACGCTAAGCTCCAGGAGAGATCGAGATTGATGTAAGCCACATAGTTACACTAGGGGGATCTTCTGGAGAGAGCGACACGTGGACCCGGAAGTTCATGATACAGATAAGCCAAGCGATGTGTTAGTTTTAGTTTTGATTGGCTAACATTAACTAGATTTGAATTTTCTTTGAAGCACACGTGTCGCTTTTTATTCCGGGTTGGATTATTAGACACTTGACTTCAAGAAATTTGCATAATTTAATCAAGTATATGCCAGGATTGTTTCGCCAGGGATCGAAGACTCTCAACATAAACCCCAACTGCGATTGGTTGCAGCAAACAAGTAAAGGTTAAGGGTCCAATATCTCAAGACGTCTCAAGTAGTCAGAAGGCTCGCAAATCAAGTATCTACATTGGACAAGGCGAGTTCATGAAGATGCAGGGGTATCACATCGAGCACCTTATAAGTACATCCGCTATCGTGTGAAGTCTTCCACGCGACAGCTTCAATCCCAAATCACGATCAAGTTCGGCATCGACTTAAGCCCACCTAGAAGAGTGCTACCCGCCCCATCGACGGGTACACAAGGTGAGCGAAGTTTACAGCACGGAATCGGAAAACCCCGTCCGTTAGTCGGTCGTCCGAGCGCCGGTGAAAAAGATGGGATCGAATCCTCAAACGAGCAATCACCACTCCATCACAATCGCCCATCCATGAAATCGATGAAATCAAAGCTGACGATCTTGAGGTTTA